TCGTCGTTCACCTCGGCGGCATAGGCTGCCAGCCGAGGGCTGGGAGTAAGGATCTCAGCCGGGATGACAGCTTCGGCGCCATAGGTCAGGGAGAATGGGGTCTCTTGCGTCGCTGACCTCGGCGTGGTCCGGTATGACCACAAGACACTGGGGAGTTCCTCCACCCAAGATGACCCAGTTTGGTGTAGTCGGGTCTTGAGGCCATGCAGGAGAGTCCGGTTGAAGTTTTCTGCTTGACCATTGGCCCGGGGGTGGCCAACCGAAGTGAAGTGTTGCTTGATGCCGAGGTTCTCGCACCAGGTCTTGAATGGATTCTCGGCAAATTGTCTCCCATTGTCCGAGACGATGATCTGAGGTATGCCGAAGCGGCAGACAATGCACTTCCAAAAGAATTTTTGAATAGCCAGCCCCGAGATGGTCCGAAGTGGCTCGGCCTCGACCCACTTAGTGAAGTAGTCCACAGCAGTCACAAGGAAGGTATAGCCCCCGACCGCTTTAGGGAAAGGACCTATGATATCTGTCCCCCATTGCTCGAATGGCCAAGGTGAAGTGATGGGGACCATGAAATTTGAGGGCTGGTGATGCTCGGGTGCATGGATTTGGCAGGAAGGACAGCCGAGGACGAGGTCCTGGGAGTCTTGCCGAAGTGACGGCCAGAAATATCCAAGGAGCATAGTCTTCTTGGCTAACATCCTGTGGCCGACGTGAGCTCCGCACAGGCCTTCGTGGATCTCGTGGAGGACGTGACGTCCAGCCTCGGGAGTGACACACCTCAGCCATGGGCCGAGGTAAGAGCGTTTGTACAGTTCTCCATCGCGGAGAGCGTACCGAGCCGCCTTGCGTTGTATTCTTCTCGCCTCGGCTCGGTCTTCAGGGAGTGTTCCCTGACCCAAGAAAAGGATGAACGGGGTCATCCAGGTATCTTCGGAGTGCACGGGGCAGGCCACCTCTTCCACATATCCGGGTTCACTCAGAACTTCCACTAAAACCGTTTTGTTGAGGTCAGAGAATGAAGTGGAGGCCAGCCGGGATAAGGCGTCGGCTCGCTTATTCTGGGACCGGGGGATTCTTTGGATTTCAAATGACTCGAAGTACACGGTGAGCTGGTGAACCTTGGAGAGGTATCGTTGCATGGTCTCATCCTTGACCTCATACTCACCGAGAACTTGGCGCACAACAAGTTGGGAGTCACTGCGGACGTGGATTTGCTGGGCGCCGAGCCTTCGGGCCAGCTGGAGTCCAGCAATTAAAGCCTCATATTCGGCTCCATTATTGGTGGCCGAGAAGCCAAAGCGGAGGGCGTAGGAGCACACCTCTCCCTGAGGTCCTTCCAGAAGAAGTCCGGCCCCGCTGCCATCTCCATTAGAAGATCCATCCACATACAATGTCCATGGGGATGAAGTGGACACTTCAGTTCCGGCGGAGGCGGACTCTGGACCTTCCGTGAAGGTCAGCTCGGCGAGGAAGTCGGCTAAGGCTTGTGCCTTTATAGCTGTGCGAGGCTCGTATGTTAAGTCATACTCTCCCAACTCGACAGCCCACTTGGTGAGGCGACCAGAAGCTTCGGGTCGCACCAATATTTGCCGAATGGGCTGGTCAGTCCTGACCGAGATAGGATGGGCTAAGAAGTAGGGCTTCAACCGCCGAGCGGCATGGACTAGTCCTAGCACCAGTTTCTCCACCTGAGTGTATCGAGTCTCCGGCCCGCGAAGAGCTCGGCTGACGTAGTAGATCGGCACTTGGGTGCCCTCATCTCGGATGAGCACAGCGCTGACAGCCTCGTCTGCTGCAGAGAGGTAGAGGTAGAGCTTTTCCTCGGGCCGAGGTGAAGCGAGAGTAGGCAGGTGGTGCAAGTACTGCTTCAGCTGGTCGAAGGCAGACTGACACTCCTCCGTCTAGGCGAACTGATCAGACTTTTTCAGCACCTTAAAGAAGGGCAAGGCCTTCTCAGCTGATTGAGACAAAAAGCGGTTCAGTGCGGCTAGGCGTCCATTCAGTCTTTGGACTTCTCGGAGGTTCCGAGGTGGGGACATATCTTGAATGGCCTTGACTTTGTCGGGGTTGGCTTCGATTCCCCGGTGGGAAACCAGATACCCTAGAAATTTTCCCGAGGTGACGCCGAAGACGCACTTCTTGGGATTCAGCTTCATCCTCGAGTCTCGCAGGACCCCGAAGACTTCCCTCAAGTCTAACAGGAAGGATGAAGTGGCGAGACTTTTGACGAGGATGTCATCCACATAAGCCTCCACATTACGGCCGATCTGATTCTTGAAGAGTCGGTTGATCAGCCTTTGGTAGGTCGCCCCGGCGTTCTTTAGCCCAAATGGCATGGTGGTGTAGCAATAAACACCTTGGTCGGTGTAGAACGCCGTCTTTTCTTGGTCCTCTTCACTGATTCCTATTTGATGATACCCTTTGAAGGCATCTAGGAAGCAAAGGATCTCGTACCCCATCGCCGAGTCGACGAGGGTGTCTATCCTCGGGAGGGGATAGCAGTCTTTGGGACAGGCCTTGTTGAGGTCGGTGTAGTCTACACACATTCTCCATCCGCCGGTGTCCTTTTTGACCATGACTGGGTTGGACAGCCAGGTCGGATATTGGACTTCGTGGATCATCTTGGCCGGCAAGAGCTTGTCGACCTCGTCCGATATGGCCTTGCTGCGTTCGGGGCCGAAGTGCCTTCGCTTCTGCCGCACAGGTCGGGCCTGTGGGTTAACGTTAAGTTGGTGAGTCATAAGCTCGGGTGGCACTCCGACCACTTCATCTGCGGACCACGCAAAGATGTCTCGGTGGTCCTTGATCAGGGAGATCACTTCTTCTTTCAGGGGTGAAGGGAGTCCAGCCCCTACTTGGACCACTTGGTCAGGCTTGGCTTCATCCAAGACCACTTGTTCCACTTCATCCCCGGGCTCAAGCCTGCTGGGCTCTCCTGCCTTATGAGGGTCGATGCAGTCTATGGAGAGGACAGCCGGCCTCTTTTCTTCTGACCTTGGCGGGGGCTGAGGTCCGACTGCGGCTTGGATGGTGGCGAGATAGCATTCTCGGGCGGCGCCCACGTCGCTGCTCACCTCGGCCACACCCTCTGGAGTTGGAAACTTGAAGCTCAGGTGGTAGGTAGAATATACGGCTCTCAAGGCATTGAGCGTCGGCCGGCCTACCAGCATGTTGTAAGGAGAGTCCGCTTTGACCACCGCAAAGCTGACAGGCACAGTTCGGCAACGGGGATGACGCCCGATAGTCACCATTAAACTCACCATGCCTTCCGGGTGGACGACGTGTCCCCCGAAGCCAACAAGGGGAGTTTTGACCGGAGTGAGTTGCTCCCGGGTCAACTTCAAATTCTCGAAAGTTCGGTAGTACATGACGTCTACCGAGCTTCCGGAGTCAACGTAGACCTTTTTGACTATATAATTGTTTGTGAGAACCTCAATCACGAGAGCCTCGTGATTGTTGGAGGCAGCGGGGACAGGGTCACGGGGACCATAGGTTATCACCTCGGACAGCCTCGAGCTCGGCTCGGCCACATCCATGCCGGCTTGGCGGTAGGTCCGCTTTCGGGAGTTCTGGCTGTCTCCTCCCGTGGGGCCACCTGAGATGGTGTTGATCACCCCGGCTATGTTTGGGCCATAGCCTGGTGATCCGTCACGTGGAGGTCTCTGATCCCCCTTGTGGTCCTCAGGACCTCGGCAATTAAGCTTGGTGTCCCGCCTGTCCTCTCGGCGAGGACCTCGGCTCTCCCGGTGGGAGGTACTTCGTCCGAAGCTTCCATCTTTGCGGACAAATTGTTTCAAGTGTCCTTGCCGAATTAGGTTTTCGATCTCTCGTTTCAGATCGTTGCAGTCTTCGGTCTCGTGCCCAACATCTCGATGGTAGGCACAGTAGAGGCTGGAGTTCCTCCTATCTCTTCTTCCAGGGATCTCAGGAGGTGTTCGGCCGAGGTGGTTCTGCCTCATCACAGCCAAGACATGAGATCGGCTGGAATTGAGCGGTGTTAGCTCAGCGTCCGAGGTGGAAGATCTTCCTTTCACGATCCGGTCAAAGACACTCCGGCGGTCCCGGGTGGGTTTGAAGTGCCACTTGGGCCGGGTTCACCTCGGCCGATGTCTTTCCTTCTCCGGGCATCTTGTCCCGTACGAGAGGCTTGGGCTTCTCGCTTCATGCGATTCACATCTTCACTTCGGATTCCCTGGTCCACTCTTTCCCAGAGTTCGTGAAGTGTACGAGGGTAATCCCGATGGATTTCGGTGTTGAAGAGTCCGGCCACCAACCCGTTGGTAAAGGCCGCGAGAGTTACCTGCTCGTTCTGATCAGGTATTTGCACATTCTCCTCGTTGAACCTCTGAGCATACGAGCGAAGAGACTCGCCCTGACCCTGTTGAAGGTTCAAGAGATAAGCTGAAGTCTTCGTGATTGGTCGAGACGACACGAAGCGGTGGATGAACCGGTCTATCAGCTCATCCAGGGAGGAAATGCTCCCTGGTTCCAAACTCCAGAACCACTTCCGGGCAGTCCCATGTAGGAAAATGGGGAAAGCCCGACAAATCACGGCGTCGGGGACGCAGTAGAGTCGGAATGCGGAGATGAAGGCGCGGAGGTGATTCTCGGGGTCACCTCGGCCGTCATAGGTGTGCAAGTTTGGAAGCTTGAAGTTCGGGGGCACCCTTTCCCCATTGATGTCATCCGTAAAGGGCGGGGCCCTCATGTAGTCCGAAGCTAGGCCCCCGGGGCGCCGAGGTGGGTCCTCGGCCCGTTTCCCTAGGAGTCCTCGAGAAAACGCTCGGGAGATGGAGGCAATTTTAGAGGTCGCCTTGGAGGAGGCACGCCTGGAGGTACTCCGAGAGAGACGCCCCTCATCGGAGTCTTCATCTGAAGGTGCCTCAGGGGACTTCGTCGGCCTCCTCTTGGAAGATTCGGCCTTTTCTTTCCCCTGTCTTTTGAGGTACCTTCCTAGCTCCTCAAAAATGGTAGGGTTGTGTGATACGAACTCGGCCATCTTGGCGATGGCCTCCTCGTTGTTAGGCTGGGTCCTTGGGGACCCTTGCTCTTCAGAGATGCGATCTTGCTGGGCTCCCGAGGTCTGCCCAACCCCAGTTGAGGGAACTCGACCACTTCTGGAGCGCGTGGATCTCATTTTAGCAATAGTAGTCTCGTTCCCACAGACGGCGCCAATTGAAGAGGCGATTTTTGGTTGGTACCTAGACCGACCTGGATCAGTCCTCTCTGAGATGAAGTGAGGTGAACTCCTGTGTCCGAAGTGAACATCGGTGTCCGAAGTGAGTGGCGGGGCTTCTCCCCTGGTATCACTCCGACGATCAAGTTAGTATGAGAACGAGAATAATGAGAATGAGTTAATGAACAGTGTGCTTACTTGTTGGGAGTGTGTCTGGGGTATTTATAGAAGAGAGGTGGTCAAGACGGAAGGCTCATGCTAGCGGGACCCACTCTCTGGCATTACGGCTCTGTCTCCTGTCAGGAGGTCTGACTCTGACACTGTAGCCGCCTGGGAGTGATGACGGAGGATATGGTGCAGGTGCCATTAAGTGCCTCCAGTGCTTTTCAGATAAAGTGCTGGTCCTGGATGATGTCAGGTGGGTTGACATCATCAGCGTGCAGCCGAGGTGGATGTGCCGAGGTCACCTACACGGTGGACTAGGGATGAAGCCGAGCTCTGGGGTTGTGCTCAAGACAGGGATGAGCTCCGATGAGGGACGAGACTTGTGTTCACCTCGGAGACGCGGGGCGCCGAGGTGAGCACCCTCAGTTTCAAATTTAAACTATCAATTGCTGGGAAATTATATGTTAGCTGATGACAGATTTATGGGGATCTCTTGGTGGAATTATTTGCCAAAATTACATGTTAATTGTTTTATTTCATGTTGGAAAATTTTGATGGTGGGCTCTATGAACTCCCACCCTTGGATTGATGATGGATATAATGCTAGTTTAGTGTTTAAATAAGTAGATTAATGATACCTAGCTAGTCTAGATTTCAAGGGATGCATAGTTCAAAAATGTCCAGATTTGCCCTGTTTTAATCGCACCCCTTTTTGCAGAATTTTTAGGGTTTCATGACTTGTATATCATGTTTATATGTTGAATATATAATGTACAAAGTTTCATTGAAAAATATTGAGGTTTGGTTGGTCAATTGGATCAATTTCGTGAAGCTAGTAAATCTGGAAAAACTGTTTTCGTAATGCTTTGACCAGTTTTCGTATTTCAGCCATAACTCTGTGCTCCGATGTTGAAATCAAGTGCCGTCAGCGGCATTTGAAACTAGACATCCCAACCTTTCCAACGGTATAAAATGGACATTCTGGTCCCATGTACGTGAGCCAAACCAACCATTTAAAGATGGCTACTCTGTTTCTCTGTTTTACAAAGAACGAAATGCTGAGGCTGCAACTTGTGGCTCGAATTCGAGCTAGTTGTGTGTCAAATTTCAAAATGATAAATCATAGCTCTATGAATGTGTTTTCCAACGCCTTAAACCATGTCCAATTCCGAGTTAATTTGAGTGATCTGTGATCAAAATATGAAACCTGCTCTGTGTGTGAAAACCCTCCTTTTTGGGACAGATTTGAGACAAGGCTCAGTGTAGACTTGCAAATTTAATCTCTTGGTGTTAACCACCACAAATGTTGTTCTGGGATGACCCTTAAACTTTTTCTATGTAAATGAACCATGTTTAGAGAATTTTCCTTTGGTAAAAAGTTTAGAAAAGGAAATTTTCATATACAAGGCAGCTTTGCCTTAAAATTTTGGAAACTTGAGTGATTTTGTTAAGTGACTTTCCATGCATATTTTTCTATGAAATTTGGTAGAGAGACAACCCTTATATGGTAGTATTATACTGCTAATTATGGTGTTATTCCGAGACCGTTTCATGGGTCAAATAAATTACCAAAGTTCATGACTCGAGTTTGGAAAAACCCATGTTTCACAAAGGAATTTTGGTAACTTGAGTTGCCATATCTTAGTATTCAAAACTCCGTTTCTCGTTCCATTTGTTTTGTTATACTCTTGGATTACAACACTAATAGAGTTATAAATTGCAAAAGCTAGTTCCAAACAAGTGAATTTTTCCGAATTTTCAAAGTTGACTAAAAATCAACTTAAATCTGCCTTATGAACTAAAACAGAGACTTTGAGCTTATTTTTGAATATTTTCCATGTGGAATCTTAGAAATGTGTATTCTAGGAACTTTTAGTATTTTAGAAGTAGTTTCCAACGGTACCAAGTTTTCCAATTTTGGACCTACTGAGTACAAGATCTGATTTTTCTAAGTTTGACGTGCAAAGCTGAAATTTTGCCGATTTCTTATAAACTGAAAATTTGAAAACCCGTTATTCCTTCTTGATGATAATTGGTCGCTTTAAACTTGATTTCATGAAGGAAATCATTTTCTCCTTGTGTTAATAAAACCTCACTTTTGAACCTTTATTTTGAGTGGTTAAGGTTCTTAATTTGAGGTATTGACAAGTCTAGATGAGTGTAACTCCTTTCTTGATTAATGCGTGATTATGAGTGAAAAATACTCATCAAATTGCTTCAGGTGCCCAAGCTAGTCTTGAAGAGAATCCCGGAGGGGACAATTAAAGACTTTCTCGCTTAATTATTTTCGAATTGGTGAGTGTCCCTGCTTGTTCTATGCCTACTTGATTAAAGTGCTTTCTTGATTTGATATGTGATAATTGGAAAAATGGTTTTCTGATCCATCGAAGTGGGCAGTGTGTACTTTATCACACTAGCTCTTTCGAGTGGTGACTTGCTTGAAATATTTTCGTGAATATCCAAGTAAGTTGGCTGGAGCGTGTTAAGAAAAAAAAATAATAATAATGAATCTACATGGACTTTAGATAGCGAAAGTTGATGGAGGGTCAACTGCGGGTAATTTTGATCAAGTGCAAGGAAAATGGCTCCTGAGAGCCCCTGTATCCTACCCTGTGCTGTTATACGCTTCCTTAATTGTTTACTTTAGTTGAAATCAATAATTGCTACTCGTTCTATGTAATTGCATGTTTTGGGCACCACTGAGCTTTAGCTCACCACACGATATTTGTTTTCCTTAACAGGTCCTGGAAATCGAGAGACTTGAAGTCTACCTTATCGTTTTGTAAATAGTATTTCGATTCGTACTTGTACCTTTGTTTTGGGTTGTCACTTGAAGCTGGAAAAGTGCAAACCCTGTGTTTTGGCTTGTATGAAAGTGTTTAACTTTTATGATTCCACTTCATGGTTTGTAATGTATAAAGGTAGTTATACGTTAAGATAGTTGGAGTTGTACCTTAAGAGTGAATGTTCAGATGTTGTTGGCCATGTTATCTCTGAAGTTAACGTGTTTTAGTATTCCAGTTTTTAAAAGTTTGGCATGTTCGGATGGCGAATTGTGTTTTAGGTTAAGTTATATTGGAATGTTTGATTGGTTTGCTTGCGTGAGTCCTGGCGAGAGTTGGGCAGGCGACCCGCCAACCCTCTAGTTCGCCTTAGGGAGAAGTGGGGCCGCCACAAGTAGCACATGCTATTATACGAGCATAAATAAGCAAACCCCATGGCCATGCTATTCACAGCATTAAGGATAAGAAAAGCCCCACATCTCCATCCAAAAATTATTGGTGCATAGGGAACAAGGAAACATAACTCCAATTTGAAGCAAAACTATACTAGGTAGAAGGAACTTCTTTCTTCTTTCGTATGCCTCTTTCTTTTGTACATGGTATTTATTTTGTGAAAATTTCATAGGTGATGTCATTCAAGGTTTGTAGTAAATACGATACTTTTACTATATCGATATAAGCACTAAAAAATAGACTAGGTAGGCCTAAGTCGTGTTGTCCCAATCAATATTGTTTACTACAAAGCCTTCACTTTTTTTTTTCTATTGTGAAGGCAGAAATGGATTTGCACTTGACAGCAATGGATCAGCTGATGAACATGATGATTCTTCAACCTCAAGAAGGAAGAGGGAGAGAAAACAGTATCATCACCACTCTGCTGAACAAGTCCAACGACTTGAAGCGTAAGATTAGAAATTTCTCTTACTCTCCCTAGTACTATTTGTGCATATAAAGTTCCTAAGGATTATCTTGATGATCATGAAATACTAATACATTTTTTTGCAAAAACATTGCTTAAAGCTACTTAAATACACTAAAAACACATCTTTAATCTTCTTTGATATATCAATATTACTTGATTTTAGTAAATCATAAATAAAAAAGTTTGTGTTAATTATTTTGTTTTATGGTGCAAAACATAACTATTATCTCTCTTTTCTTCTATTGAAAGTGTTGGAATTTATATGTAAACCAATTTAGTGGTCAATCCTTTTTGCAAGATAATTATTATTTCTCTTGCTAGTTTATGTAGAGACAACAGTATTATTTACCATCTTGTACATTTCAATGAAACTTTCAAAAGTTTTAGTTTACATTTTACATGCTAGATCCTTTCTAAATCTTTGTGTATTTACTCTTTTCTATTTATTTTATTTCTTCATGTTTCCTTACAAGCATGATAGATTTTTATTAAATTTAAATTTTATGATGACCCATGTAAGTTTTTTTTTTTTTTTTTTTTGCATACACCTTGGACACCATGTATTTTTAAATAAAAGAAAAATACACCCATGTGAATTTATATGTCAACCCAATTTAGTGGTCAATCCTTTTTGCAAGAGAATTATTATTTCTCTTGCTTGTTTATGTAGAGACAACAGTATTATTTACCATCTTATACATTTCAATGAAACTTTCAAAAGTTTTAGTTTACATTTTACATGCTAGATCCTTTCTAAATCTTTGTGTATTTACTCTTTTCTATTTATTTTATTTCTTCATGTTTCCTTATAAGCATGATAGATTTTTATTAAATTTAAATTTTATAATGACCCATGTAAGTTTTTTTTTTTTTTTTGCATACATCTTGGACAGATATAGTTCATTTTGTTTTTGAAAAAATAAAAGAAAGTAGCACTTATATTATTCTTCTAATCCTACGTCTTTACAAGATGTTTTGGTTGGTTTAACTTATGAAGGTTTTTCAAAGAATGTCCTCATCCAGATGAAAACCAGCGGAGACAATTAAGTAGAGAAATAGGGCTTGAACCCAGACAAATCAAGTTCTGGTTTCAAAATAAAAGAACCCAAACAAAGGTATATTATTTCTTTTATTTTATATATTATTTAGCTCTTTTAAAATGCTGCTCCTTTTTTATCTCTTTTTTTTTGGTGTCATTCTTCATGTGCAACTCATGTGGCAACCATTCAAGAGCACTATCATCAATGAGAAAACCACGTATTTCCAATATCTTTCGTTCTCTCGTAAAGGGTCTAGCATAACGTAGGGAGCAACTAATAGGTAGTGTCTTTTTTTTTAAATCAATTCTATGAAGAATCAAAGTGTAGTTTCATATTGAAAAAGAAAACTATTTGTTTTTGTCTGTACCATTGAATCTTTGCTCTTATCCAATATTGGAAGAGTACGGAAGATATCTCCGAGAGTGTGACGTGAGTGTTTACGTCTTATTTCATACTTTGAATGCTTGATGCCGTGTCTTTATCTTCTTTTTTGATATTTTGATATTTACCATTTCCTCTAAAAATACCAAGAATTGCTTCTCCTCTATTTTTTATCCGGCTATCAAGTATAGCAAGGTCTATAGGTGTATTTAGTCTTTCTCTGAATGTAGATCTAATAATTATTTGGATAGAACTTATATGAATCCATCCTATTTTTTCTGGTATTTTATCTAATTTGCTATAAACTACTCTTTGGTCACTTTCGCGGGCAAATAGCTTAGGGGGAAAAAAAGCACTGCTTCTTGCTACAAAATGGGACGAATGCATGAGATCCATTGGATGATTATTGGAATGTCCTTGTGCCTAAATATGTTTCTTCAAGTTCTGTACTTTTCCTTCATAATTGAATTAATGAGTAAAATTGATGTTTTTGGTTAGAAATATCTAAAAGCTCCTTCACATTTTTAATGAATATTTCATGTTCAAATCTTTGGACTCATTATCGAGGTTCCTGTCCCATTTCACATTCAAAAGAAATTGAGAATACTAGTGATATATATTTACCTGATGAATATATTATCTTGATGTTGGTGAGTTGGGCTCGACAATTATAGACAGAGAAATAAGAATCCGTTGGGAAATGGAAACGGCGAGACCTTTTTTTTTTTTTTAATGGATAATGCTGCTTTTGGCAACAATATCTTTGATGGTTGTCACATGAGTTGCACACGCGGTCAAACTTTAGGAGCTAAATATGATTTCAAATAAAAATTTAGGGACATTGAAAATCTCCACTATGATATGACTTTTTATTTTTTGTTGTTTTTTGGCATTTCCAGAGTCACAATGAACGAGCTGACAACAATGCCCTTAGAGTTGAAAATAACAGATTCTATTATGAGACTCTGAGAGAAGCATTAAGGAATCTTGTATGCCCAAAATGTGAGGATTTATCTTCTGGAGAAGAAGCAAGGCAAAGAAATCTAGAAAGATTACGAGTTGAAAATGCTTGGTCGAAACAATAGGTACCCTAATCTATCTTCATGTATCTAATTTTTTCAAATATAACTCATACAAAATCTTGGAATCAATTCCTAACTACTGCTGATTTATTTGTTTTGCTATGTATATTTGCAGCTTGAAAGGGCATCCCATGCAGTATCCACTTTTTCTAGAAGATCTGGAGTACTCGAATCTTATCTGTCCCGTGAAAATATTCTCAGGACTTCAATGAACACATTGTTACCTCAAAGGTTTTCTGAAGTACAAGGGATGGAAAAATCTGTCATGGTTGAAACTGCTGTTAATGCCATGGATGAATTATTAGAGCTTTTCCGAGGAAATGAGCCCTTATGGGTTAAGTCTCCAACTAAGGAGAGATATCTTATTCATCGCGAAACTCATGACAAGCTATATCCCAAAATATCCCATATCAATAGCTCTAGTTCTTGGATAGAATCATCAAGAGATTCAGGACTTGTGCCAATTACTACCAGGCACTTGATTGATATATTTCAAGATCCGGTTTACTCTAATAATATCTCTTGCTCCTTGTGTTTTTTTTCTTGTTTTTTCCCTTAATCCATCAAATATGAGATATGATTTGTGATTTTACTTTTATTAGATTTAATAGCATGTATTCCATTTATGTTTTAATATCTTATTCATGTTACAGGAAAAATGGATGGATTTTTTTCCTACAATTGTCACCAAAGTTAGGACAATTGAAGTGCTTGACACAGGAAAAGAGGGGTGGTTCTCTATTTGTGGTATAATTATTTTGTAATTTTGCTTAATGGAATTTTGATTCCTTAGTAGCTATTAGAATGCAAAATTGATTAATTTTGAAGGATGTGTTATTGCATATGCACGAAAAATTGCACGTTCTTTCACCTCTTGTTGCACCTAGAGAGTTGGCATTCCTTCGTTATATCCAACAACTTGATTCAACAACATGGGTGATCGTAAATGTTTCCTATGATTCCTTTAAGGAGCTAGAAGATGCTTCTTCTTAAAAAACATGGATGTTTCCTTCCGGTTGCCTTATTCAAGACATGCCCAATGGAAAAGCAAATGCAAGTTCCAATGCTCATTTCATGGTTTCCATCATTTGTTTCGTAACTTCAGTTGAGACTTAAGATTGATCGAAACAAGTATAAACAAATATCATTTTACATGACAATTCATATATTTGTTTTTAATTTTTCTAACAAGATCTAATTCGTGCATATTGTGTGCTAAAAATGATAGAGTCAGTACCTGATCAAGTTTTAGACAGCATTAACCAAGAAATTGATAGTAGTAATTAGATTTTGACTAGAACTTAGGAACTGGATGTTGAGCCGAATTTAGGGAACATTGGCTCGGATACTAGAATATAACGACATTATTTAGAGCAGTTCTTGAAAAATAAGGATGATATTAGTTAGAGAATTTCCTGAGCAACATGTAAGTTTGGCTACAATATCTAGACGTAGTTTGGTCATTCTATTGTAGTTATAAAATCAGTGATAAGGTTTTAGACTCGTAACTTTCTACTAATACTCTTAAAAGAATTTCAAAAGACACATAAAGTAATGATTACATACCAGTTACGAGCTACTTAGTTGCACTCGTCCAAGTATTAAAATTTGACTACAAAATTTAGTTAAAGTATCAATTTGTCATGTGGATGTTCATGTGCCTTAGTTTGAGGTTCTGTAATTCATTGTAATTATGTAGTATATAAAGTTTCTATGCCATGTATAAGAAAGTATGTTATTTGAGCAAATCAGTGTATTTGGTTCGTGCAAGAAATTAGAATTATTATATTTGCTCAATTTTTGAAAAGTAAATAAACATATTAAAATATAAAATTTTGAAAAAACTCCATCTGGATTGACTTATTTTTAAAAAATAAGTATTTCAAATACAATGTTACAATAATACACAAACAAAAACATATCATCCATACAATATATCAAATATTTCAAAAAATATTTATAGGAAAAGTTTTTCATATATATTATTACAGTAAAATATTTCAAAAATACCTTCAATAACACTTAATCCAACCGGGCATCAATCTCTACACCGCTGTCTGTTAATAAGTAGATCAACTGTTTATATATATATATATATATATATATATATATATATATATATATTCACCCTAATATTTATATCCTTGTCCCTAGGTGGCATGGGTTGAACATGTTCAAGTGGATGATATATCTCTTACTCATCCTCTTTATAAAGATATGGTTTGTGATTCTCAAGCATATGGAGCCAAGAAATGGATTGTCACTTTGCAAAGGATGTGCGAGAGATTTGCATTTTCAATGGGACCAAGATCTACTCCTAGACATGAACTTGAAGGAGGTACTTACAAATCAAGTTTCTATTTAAAATTTTTTTAGAAACATTAATTTTTGAGATTTTATTCTAACTTTCTTGAGCTTTTGCTCTTAATTTCATCCAGTTATTGATGCACCTGAAGGTAGGAAAAGCCTAACAAAACTTTCTCACAAGATGGTCAAAAACTCCTGCCACATGTTAGCATGTTAGAGAAAGATCTCCCTCAGCTATCAGAATGGAACAGCAATGGGTTTCGAGTCTCGGTTCATAAAAGTGATACTTCTGGCCAGCCCAATAACATGATTGTTTGTGTTGCTGCGTTCCTACAGCTTCCAACTACCTTTGAGAATCTATTTGATTTCTTCAAAGATGAGCATGCAAGAGTTCAGGTTTTATTCCCTATTCACCAATTTTCTTGTTAATTATAGCATCTATTTTATCAAACATTTTTTTTAATTTAGTTGGAAATCATGAAATTTTTTTGGTTAGATCAAATGCAACCTTCTAAGATTTTTATTGGCCTCTGTTTAAATTAAAAAAGCATTTTGCACATAAACCTGCACGATGAATGCACTATAGCATTTTGTCTACATAGAGAATTGCAAGTTATGAGATTTTGGTCTTTAATAAAAAAAAAAATTAACCTATATATGGATAATTTTCCCTCAATATAATTTGGAGTGGGATGTTCTGTCTGATGGAAATCCTGTTCATGAAATTGCACATATCTCCACAGGCACTCACCCTAGAAACTCTATTTCCCTCGTGCAGGTAAACATTTTGATGTTTTATTTCTACTTGTAGTAAATATGGCTATTGACTTATAAACAGACCAGAAGTTCACTAATATCTAAAATGACATATGCATGTGCAAAATATGTTTTTTTTTTTCAAATTTCTTGTATCATATGGCAATAAGCATTTTGAGTCTCTGATTAGTTTTCCATATATTAAAACCTATGAACACTTTTAATATTGACTCGTATACTATGATTAATTGCAGCCCATTAATCAAAAGGAAAACATGTTGATACTTCAAGAAAGCAGAATCGACTTGTTAGGGGCTAATCTAATTTATGCTCCAGTGCTAGTTTCAGCCATTACTTCTGCAACGAGTGGTAAAGACACCCGAGATACAGATGTTTTACCACCGGGCTTTATCATCTCAAGTGATGGAGTTGATGATAGTGGAATTAACTAGAGTTGGAGCTTCTTCTAGTTCTAACATGACAAGGATCGAATAGTTCACTACTCACTGTGGCCTTCCAAATAATGGTGCGACCTGACACATTTGCTGACCGACTAGTCACAGATTCGGTGGCCACAATTCATGCTCTTATAAGCTCCACTGTACAAAAGATTAGAGTAGCAGTTGGATTTAGGTTTGGGTGAATTTGATTGCTTCTGTAATGGGATTTTCTTGTTGGGATTTGAATATTAACATTTTTTAATTTGTTAAATCTCTACAAGGATGTTTGAGATGTTAGGGTGGTATTTATATTTTAACCGTTGGTGAAAATTATCACATATTAAACCCAAAATCTATATGGCGATAATTAAGAAATAAATTATAAATAAAATTGCGGAAGTGCATCTGGATTCATATCGACAAACTTGATACTTGAATCCCTAGAGATTTTGGGGTGGTCTTCCAAGCCAACACGTATTTGCCAATTCTTGAGAGAACCCTTTAGTTTCTTTCTGGTATCTTTCTTGACGCTGGGATATCAGGGAAGAGCTATTTTTGTGGTGCTAGAAAATACTACAAATAGAATGATACGTATGACTTGGGAACCATAAACTTATTTATAGGTAACATTCCTGTTACCTTTTGGAACCCTATTTCAGCCCATCATAGAAATAGGAGCTCTTAAATCTCTACATATTAAATGCCCACATCCTATTAGATACATTAAATCCAAATCATATTTGATCACTTTAATTGGATTTAATCTTATTTGACAGTTTGCAACCCATAATTCACATATAAGTTCAATGTTGGATTAAGGATCAAACAATCTCCCACTTGGACTAGATGTATAACCTTATAATTATGTTTAACAATTAACCATAAGCTCAAATTTACTGTCATTATTAAAATGTATCTGTAGCCAATTCGATCCATCAATCACACCAATATAGGATCAAAGCGGCTTTTGTTACAATTTCATAATTCAACCCATCAATGGTCACATATATCGATACAATTGAATGACATGAATCATGATGTGGATGTGTAGTATGAAATTTTCATGTAAGGTGATCAAAACATGCGTATTTTCAACTGGTCCACCTTAAATTTTTATGAGATCAAACCATACCAAAGTTAGAGTGTAAATAAATCCAAACTTTATTATGCATAAAATATCCTTAAAGCATTAATAACTGAAAAATATTATAAGAGTATTTAAAATATCAAATTCCCACTAAAACTGTACATCATTTAACAATATGACACCTATACGAGCAGTATGCTCATGAAACATTTTGAGTGGCAATCCCTTAGTAAGCGGATCCGTAACCATGGAGTTTGTCCCAATATGCTCTATCGATAACTGTTCACTCTGTACTCTTTTTTTAACAGCTAGGAGCTTGATATCTATATGTTTAGATTTCGTCGAGCTCCTGTTATTATTGGAATATAGGACTGCTGACTTATTGTCACAAAATAATTTAAATGATTTTCAATACTATCCATTACACGTAATCCTGTGATGAGATTTCGCAGCCAAATTTCTTGATTGGATACCTCATAACAAGCTATAAACTCTACAATCATAGTAGAAGATGCTATGAAGGACTGTTTAGCACTCTTTCAAGATATGACACCTTCAACCAACAAGTAAATATAGTTTGACATTAATTTCATAGTATCTTGATATCCAACATAATCGGAATCAGTATACCCAATGATCTCTAACTCATCTGGCTTTGATACGTGAGCATGTAATCTTTTATTTTTTGTAAATACCGTAAGACCCGTTTAATTGCTTTTCAATAATCTAATCCAGAATTGCTTAAATATCTACCCAACATTCAAGTAATGTAAACAATATCCGGAATCGTACATACTTGAATATACATTAGACTCCCTACTACTGACGCATAAGGAATCTTTTGCATCTTTTTTTCATCAAAAGCATTCTTAAAACACTGTTCAAGACTAAATTTGTCTTCTTTAGTCATGGGGATGTCACCTGATTTACAATTTTGTATGACATACCTTTTGAGAACCTTTTTGATATAACCTTTTTGTGATAGTTCTAAAATACCCCGAAATTGATTCCAATGTATTTGTATACCTAATACAAAAGATGTATCACCAAAACCTTTCATTTCAAAATTCTTAGTTAGAAATTTCTTGATTTCATGCAATAAACCAATATCGTTGCTGGCAAGTAAAATGTCATTAACATACAATACCAGAAAAATATACTTGCTCCCACAGAACTTATGATATATGCAATCAGCTACTAAATTCATCTCAAAATCAAATAAGATGATCATTTGATGAAATTTAAAATATCATTGTCGAGACGCTTGTTTGAACTCATAGATGAATTTTTTAAGTTTGCAAACCATATTCTTTGGATCTCCTAATACAAAGTTTTTTTGTTACACCATATAAATTGTCTCATCAATGTTACTATTGAAAAACGCTGTCTTTACATCCATCTGATGTAACTCAAGATCGAAATGCGCCATTAATCTCATAATAATTCTAAAAGAGTCCTTTGAAGAGATCGGAGAGAAGGCTTCTTTATAGTCAATACCTTCTTTTTGTGTAAATCCCTTAACGACAAGACAAGTTTTGTATCTTTCTATATTGTCTTTCGAATCCCTCTTGATTTTAAATATCCATTTACAACCAATAAGTTTCGCACCTTCTGGTAATGGGACAAGATCCCCAACATCATTGTTCTTTATAGATTTAATCTCCTCATTCATGGCATCGATCCACTTTTAAGAATTTGAACTTTTCATGGTTTGACTGAAGTTGATTGGATCATCTTCCATCAATCCAATGTCATCCTCATATTCTTGAAAAAAAACAATATAATCATCTGACACTGCACTTCTCTTTTCTCTAGTGGATCTTCTTAATGACACTGGTTCTTGAAGAGGAAGAGTTTGTTCTTCTATAACAGTTTGTTCTTCGACATTGTCTTAATTTGTCATGTCATGATCTTGTTCAGGATGTCATGATCTTGTTCAGGAATAGGATCTTGAACAAGATCAATGACACATATAGGAATATTAATATATTTTTCTTTAAAAACAATGTCCCTTACTGTATTTTCTCCCCCAAACTCGATATCCTCAAAGAACCGAGCATTTCCTGTCTCAAAAATTAATTTAATTGTGAGATCATAAAACTTGTAACCTCTGGATCTTTCAGAGTTTCCAATAAAATAACAACTAATCGTTCTTGAGTCCAGTTTCTTTTCATTTGGTCTATAAGGTCTTGCCTCAACTGGACATCCTTAAATATATAAATGCTTTAAACTAAACTTTTTCTTTGTCCCAAACTCATAAGGGGTTTTGACAATTGTTTTAGTTGGAACTCTGTTACGGATATATACTGCAGTCTTAAGTGCTTCTTCCCATAGTGACTCTGGTAATGTAAAATGACATATTATACTTCTTACCATGTCTTTAAGCGTTCTATTTCGTCTTTCAGTTACACCATTCATAGTGGATGAAATCGGCATAGTGTATTGTGGAACGATACCGCATTCCTCTAAATATTTAGCAAATGGTCATGTACGCAGTTCACCTGAACTGTCATATCTACCATAGTACTCACCACCACGGTCAGATCTGACGCTTTTAATTCTTTTGTTGAGTTAATTCTCAACTTCAGCCTTAAAATTTTTGAACACGTCTAGTGACAGTGACTTTTCAAAAATGAGATATATATAGCCATATCTTAAAAATTCGTTTATGAACGTTATAAAATATTGTTGACCATTCCAAAAAGATGTGAAAAATAGTCCACAAATATCTATATGTATAAGTTCTAAGACGTCTAAGGACCTATTAGTTTCAAATTTTCTTTTATTAGTTTGTTTTTCCTTTATACAGTTAATACAATTATTAAAATCCGTAAAATTCAAGGGGTTGAGAATTTCATTTAACACAAGCCTTTCCATTCTCCGTTTGGAGATATGTCCCAATCTCTTGTGCCATAATGCTGCTGAATTCTCGTTAGTTAATTTTCTCTTTACTCCTCTAGTATTCAAAATACAGGGATTCATTAAATGAGACAATTGTATCAATTAAATATGGATTATCGTAGTGCATTAAAGAGCCAGAACCAACCAATTTTGAAGTATGAAACAATTCAAATTCTTCATTTTCAAATGAACAAAAATAACCAAATTTATCCAACGCAGAAATAGAGATTAAATTTCGTTGAAAATACGGTATAACAAATGTCTCATTAAGATCCAAATAAAATTCGATTTTTAACAATAATCTAAAAACTCTAATTACCTCAACTTGAACTGTTTTGCCATCGCCCACGTAGATATAACTTTCATTATCATTAGGCTTTCGACAATTCAGGCAACCCTGCATAGACATACTGATGTGAGTTGTTGCATCAGAATCTAACCACTATGTGTGTCTAGGTACCGAAGTTAATTAATCTCAGAACAAATCAAATTAAGAAGCATACCTTTCTTAGCACGCAAAACGTGATAGTTGGTGCAATACTTCTTTTTATGCCTTTCAGCTCCACAGAAGAAACAACTATTCTTTCCCTGATCATCTGATTTCTTTTATTGTTTCTTTTGTAGCACTGTACCTGCAGCTCCTTTTTTCCTTCTTTCCCTTAAGTCCCTTACTTTTATTATTAGTGGTTGACACCAGATGGGCACTTTTTGTCTGATTTTGTTTTAACCTTTCCTCTTCCTCCACACAGTGTGAGATGAGTTCATTTAGTGACCAAGTCTCCTTTTGACAGTTATAACTCACCTTAAAGTAGCTAAATTGTGTAGGAAGAGATATTAAAATTAAATGTATTAGTAACTCTTCAGAGAGTGTCAATTTAAGTGCATTTAATTTTGAAGCAAGATGAGATATTTCCATAATGTACTTTCTGATATTACCTTACCACTAAATTTCATTGAAATTAGACGTGTCAAGAGCATACTAATTTCAGATTTTTCGTTCTTGACAAACCTTTTTTCACTGTTCTGAAGGAACTCTTTAGCGGTTACTGTCGTTTCTGACATTGTTCCTCTGAATATTTTTGGAACGGCCTTTTTAATGATCATCAGACACAAGCGATTCAATCTCTCCCACCTCTCATTATTTCTCTTTTCATCAGAGGTACTCTGATCTGTAAGAGATAGGGGAGGATCATCCCTTAACGCAAGGTCGAGATCCATTACTCCAAGTACTATTAAAAGATTTTCTTTCCAAAACTTGAAGTTTGTGCCATTCAACATAGAAATATTATTGATGTTGGTAGTAATATTTGTAAAATCATTTGCAACTGAACAGAAAATATAAAATAATTAAAACTATACTCACATAAACGAAAATAATAATGAATTTAAATAAAGATAACTCCATCTCAAGATACCGATGTTTCATTAATATTTTATTTTTGGATAAAAATATTAACTTCTAAATGATATCTTGGTGCAATAATAAATGCTTATAATAATAACATGTCAAAAAATAAATTTTTCTTTGGGCCAATTTATACATTACATGTAACATCCAAATAATTATCACATATTTATTACCACAAGTGCACATGTAATTTTATTAAATATTGACATTTTTTTGGGCCGATCAATATTCATAAAATTGCAAGTACCCAACTAGTTATATTTTAAAACAAATTAATTTCCATAACAGAGGTCACTTTTGTGATATATTATTTCAATTAAAATATATATTTATTCTAAAATATATATAATCATACCAATATTCAAATTTAAAATTACATAAATTAAATAAAAATTGTGATCAAATCTGGTCAAATCTGGTCAAAACGTGGTCGAACATGGTTAAACCAGTTAAATCTAGTCAAACCAGTCAATTGGATCAAAACTTATTGGACTAAAAGTCCATATCCATAATTGAACCAATTTTATCATTTAAGTCCCAAATTTTCTTGAAGTCCATAATTACTTTATAAAAATTTATATTTAGTGGGCCTAATATGGACTTTATAGGGTTTAAATATCTTATTTAACTTTATTAGGGTTCACTTAAATTAAAGAAACCCTAATATCCTTAACATAAATATAAGCATATTTATTCTTAAACAAAGAAATAGGTCAAAGAGCTCAAGTATTAACTAAATTAATACTATGGACAGAAAATTGAAACTCAGAATGTTTTATTGTCAATTTTAATTCTTAAGAACAGGGAAAAGGATGAAAGACCTCCCAAAGCCAGAAATCAAATTAGTTTACAAAAAAAGTTGGCACACTAAAATATCAATGAACCGTGGCAAAAGTTTGATTACCATGGAGCCCACTTGAATATCGTATAAATTTGAAAAAAAATTTAGAATGAATTTGTTTGTTTTGAAAGTTGTATAACGGTCGTTAAATTTCAAATATCCCTTCCTTAAATTTCAAAATTTACAAATTCTCATATTTTTGTTAAATACAAAACCTACCAGTTTCTGCAATGATCCCTTTGTTTTATAAGAATTGTTATATCAGAGGTAAATTTGAAATTTAATTGCATTTAATTCCGAAACACTTATCAAACCAAGTATCAGGAAATAGAATGATGCTAATTCGAATGTGTGAACCAATTTAGATATTGGAATGAAAAGTTTAATTTCAAAACCAGAGTCTATGATTGATTTCATTTCCATTTTCGATTCCAATCTGTGAAACAAGCACCCCCTAAATTCATGTGTAAGAATCCGTGGAGCCCACTAACTTCAAGTGTTGACCGAATTCATGAATTATCTGATGTAATTGTATGAAAGCATAAAGATAACAATATGGATGAAATCATACTGCATGCCATTAGAACAACAATTGTTTATCACAGCAATTCATGCCATCAGCAACCAAGGCTTCCAAAAAATAAATATGAAATTCGAAACATGAAGCCATATCATGAAACAATTATTGAACTTGACAAAAACCACGGAACAAAGACTTTCAGCCATGCAGACGAAACCTAAATTAATCAAAACTCTTAAAAAAATATGAATTACTAAATTTAAATTATTTTTCAATAATCAACCATATTAGACTCTGATACCATAGGTTAAAATTATCACCTATTAAACCCAAAATCTCTATGGCGATTATTAAGAAATAAATAACAGATAAAATTGCGGAAGTGTAGCTGGATTCATATCGACAAACTTGATACTTGAATCTCTAAAGATTTTGGGGTGGCCTTCTAGGTCAATACGTATTCGCCAATTCTTGAGAGAACCCTTTAGTTTTTTTCTGGTATCTTTCCTGACGATGGGATATCAGGAAAGAGCTATTTTTGTGGTACTAAAAAATACGACAAATAGAATGATACGTGTGACCTGGGGACAATAACCCTATTTATAGGTAACATTTCTGTTACCTTTTGAAACCCTATTTCAGCCAATTATAGAAATAGGAGCCCTTAACTCTCTACGCGTTAAAGGCCCACATCCTATTAGATACATTAAATCCAAACTATATTTGATCACTTTAATTGGACTTAACCTTATTTGACAGTTTGCAACCCATAATTATTCACATATAAATCCAACGTTAGATTAAAGATCCAACATGAGATATTTTAGTTTTCACTTAAAAACATTAGAAGTGTAAGGCCTATTGATAATGCAAAATTGCATGCATGGACGTGTACTCTTCCTATATCTCTTCATCGAAAATTACTTGAAAAGGCTTTGTATTTTTAAAAATTTATAGTTAATCTCTAACTATGTAGAAGTTCTTATTAGCCCAAACTTTGTTAGATTTAATCAACATGGTCACTTAAAGATTATAATAAGATTAGTAGTTAGTTAATTATCAATTCTTATCTTTTCCACTTCTTTCACAAATACCTTTGCTTGTCCAATAATCAAATTGCCTAAGAAATCTGTCGGTCAAACATAATTGCAAGCCTATGATTAATTCCTCATGTCCCATAAGAACCAATATTCCATTTCACATTACATGCACAAAATTAGCAAGCAATTTATAACTAATATTCATGAAGTTCTACATTGGCTTTGTGAATGATGTGAGTACTAAAAACTATCGATTTATTGTTTGTTCAAGGAATAAAAATTTGTCTGAACAATGTTTTATTGGAAATCGTACCCATTCACGATATAACATAACATTGAATAGCATTATTATGAGGCTGTTGGTAACCCCAAAACTTTAAAGTTTTGGGAATGTGGGAGGTCAACCTTTGTCTCCCACCATACTTGTCACTTAATTTCTTCTGACGGGTTCCCCGACGATTATAGTCCCCCTCTCTCTAGATTAAGTTAGAATAAGTTACACAACTGTTATCGTTACAATACTAAGGATGGTTTCACTAGCTAATTTTCGAGCACTTGGAAACAAAATAATTTAAAAGTTGAGTCACTATAGGCCTAGAATTTAAGTGAATAGCCTTGCTCATGTAAATCAATTTTCTTGCTAATTACGGCTACAGAGTTGACACTAAATCATTTAAAACTTTCTTTTTCCTTTGTTTTTTGGCTAGATAATCTATTGCTACTTCAATGTGCATAAGAATAGGCATCACTTCCACCACTTCTTTTGGTAGAGTTCCATCGACAACTATGTACTATGATTACTATCTTCTTCATTGTGAAAGTTACAACACAATATCCCCCAAAATAATTCATATTAACGGCTCTAGCTCCTCGATAGAATCATCAATAGATTCGGGAATTATGCAATTACTATCAGTACTTGATTGATGTGTTTCAAGACCTAGTTTCATATCTCTCTCCTTCATGATTTTTTTTCTTTTGTCCTCTACTCATCAACTACGATATAAGCTTTAGTTTTAATAAAATCCCATTAAAAAAATGAATCGCATTTAATAGACTGGAAGTTCTCAGACATCAAAATTGGTGTATGTATGTGCAAAATATGTGCGTAATTTTTCTATTTTCTCATATTTTTCTCGTACAATAGATAATTAAATATTTGAGGTATCTTACCAGTTTTCCAAAGATAAAATCAAAACCTATGAACACCTTTAAGATTTACTCATGTTTTACTATTGGAGCCCATGACAACTACACGTTGATACTTCAAGAAAGTGTTGACTCGTTAGGAGCCTTTCTAAATTATGTGGAGTTGTCAGCCATTACTATAAGTGAGACGAGGAGTAATAGGTTTCACTCTTTTTTGCTAGAACCAATAAAAATAGAAGTTAAGACCTATTTGTATTTTGTAATGCAAAATTGCATAAATGTGTACTACTGTACCAGTAATACCAATATCTTTCCATCGAAAAATACTTGAATAGGCTTTGAATTTTTAAGGGCAAATTACATTTTACCCTCCTGTGATTTTCACAAAAACCACATAACCCTCTCATGATTTTAAAAGTTATACATAAATCCTCTGTGGCTAGAGTTAAAGTGTCAAACAGACGGAAAACACCCATCGTGACAATTCATGGGCGAAATGTCCAAATTACCCTAATATAAATATAAAAAAGGAAGCAGATGAAGTCAAATTTTCCCTTCCTTTAGTCTTTGTTGTGAAAGTAGCTGTGAAAGAGTAGCTGTGAAAGAGTATATGTGAAAGAGTATCACGAAAAAGTATTTTGAAACACCTCCACCATTCCATCCACCACCATTAAGTCAGATTTTGAAAGTAGCTTGCACCAAGACCATAGCTACCACCATTCCATCCACCACCAATACCGCTGCCACCTGGAGGGGTTAATTACTGTAACTAAGAGGGGGAGAAAAAAATTACAAATGTAGGAGAAACTCCACAAAAGGATACATCAGAAGTCCGTTCTGGTCGATTGAATTTACAACCATTAGAATAATTCTGCCTTCATGCATATACAAAAGTTTCAATACCAATTAGCTATAAACCAATACTAAAGTGGCTTCGCCCTTTCTTTGTTAACAATGGACATTGGCAAACAAAGAAGCCGAAAAGAAGAAGGGCAATAGCAGGAGGATCCCACACCCATAATCTCCCCCATCCACATACATTTTCGATCCCATGTCATTTTCCCTCTGTTATGCCAAAGGCTGGAACCGCTACTAAAATGGTATTGCATCAAGTGCAGTCCATCTGTTGCTCGACAAGTTTTTGCTTTTTCTGAGTTTCCAAGTGCAAAGAGAGCTTAGTGCACTTCATTCTGGTCTCAAGTAGTTTGCACTAGGACCATAGCTACCACCATTCCATCCACCACTATTACCGCTATCACCTGGACCATATTTACCGCCTAGACCACCTCCACCCGACCCACCTACAGAGCCATATCCACTGCTGTCATTGCTGCCTCCGCTTCCAACCCCATAACCACCACCATTACCATCTACAGAGCCATGTCCACTGCCATCATTGAAAGAGATAAGGAGCACAGATCTAGGTTTTATTAGGTCCATTAAAGTGGTCAGGGGTAATATGGAAATGTTTCTTACTGCTACTAGTAGTACAAGCGCGTTTAAGCTACGAATCGTCACGATAGGTGCTTTCCATTTGGTTGACACTTGAATCCAAATTACAGGGGATTTATGTATAGCTTTTATAATCATGGAGGGGTTATGTGGTTTTTGCGAAAATCACAGGAGGTTAAAATGTAATTTGCCCAATTTTTAAAATTTATATGTAATCTCGAATTATGAAGAAAATTCCATTAACAAGCGTGTACTTTAGGAAATGTTTGGTCCTTGCCCACTAAATGTTTGGTCGTTTATGTTGGGTGCTTCCGTCGTTTATGTCATATTTACTTAAAGCAAGATAGTATATATTGACACTGATAGTATTGACACTTGTAAAGGAACTTGTGAACACTATCATCGCGTTGAAACCGAAAGCAATGATGAGTTGTTAGATGGTTTTTGTTTTGGGCCAGTGTTAATACCATTTGGTTTAGTTAAATAAGCAGCAATGCTATTTTTTTCGGGTAACAATAATATTTGTATAATTTAATTTATCTTATTCTATAAGGAGGGAAGTCTAAAGAGACTGTAAAAGAAGTTAGCACACATGCATATCTGAGTAGACCAAAAGAGTAATCTGACATCTCCTTTGAATTTTTTTCATTGCAGATGGAGTTTGAACCCCCTCTTTCCGACCTACAAGTCAAAGAAGGATTTAGTTCCTTTTTGGTGGCTACTGAGCCAAAGCAACCAAGTCATTGGCCCCCATGTTTTGCCAAACAAGCTTTTCTGAAAAAGCATATTGGTACTAGCACGAGGAGAAAGGTAAAATTGCAGTCCCTTCATCGGTGACAATGCATGCATTTGCTTACCCAGAATAACTATCAACCAAAAAAAAAACTTTGTACATTTTGCAACTTGGGTTGAGTAGGTAAAAACCAAAAAAAAAATTTTTTAATTGATAATGGTAACTCAAGTGCACCACCTTCAAGAATGAACGGAGTTACCATCTAGAGTTCAAGGTGCAACAATCTCTCGCAAATAAAAACCCTTGGAAATTTTGACTTGCAGATGCAGTTTTTACAACCTCAAAAGTCGAAACTTCTCTACTGACGATCACAATATGATAATATATATATATATATATATATATATATATATATATATATAAATACACATATAACAACTCAACATTCCAGTGCGCACTCTCGGGTAACGGCTGCAAATTTCCTTGTCAACAAAAAAAAAAAAAAACTCAGCATTGGGAACAAAATCGTCCATTTATTTTTGATCGTCAACTATATATTTGCTAATAAGGCAATCAAGAAAGCAAGCCCCATAAGTGACTACATAACCCATAGAAAGTTATGTTGAAGTGTCATCACAACCAAAACGTCGCCATCGCTTCTGCAAAACTATGTGTTATTCCACTATAACAAAAATACAATTGTTAAATAACAAAATCAACAAAAGTTATAATAATAATTTTAACAATTATAAAATTAACTATAATAAAATGGTTAAAATAATAATATAATAATGCACAAATGTGGAGGGTTGAGGTACGGATATCTCGTTTTCTTTAAGGTGATTTAAACCTCTGCGGAAGAATCAATTCCGGTGCAACAGAATGTCCAGCTTGTCACCTCCAAGATACAACAGCGCAACCACACCTGCAGTCACTCTCATTAGTCTACACAACTAAGAGAGTATAGCTCCACTAACGCCGATTTTTCTTGCCAATCTATGAGATAGAAAATAAAAAAGGAGTGCATAATTTTTCTCTTATGAATTATAGCTCACAAAACATAAGTTCTTGTAGCACATATTTCTATCTCAATTACATATATTTATGGGTGAAAAAAAAAGACAAATATAACCTACACCACTAATAAGACACCAACTAAATGCTGAAATTATTGGCTATTCAAAACACATTGAAATTTGTATTGTAGGTTACAAAAACTTATGATAATTGAAAAGTCATAATTTCATATAATAAATCTTTAGTCAAAAATCATTTAAACACCAATAAATTTCAAAATTATTTTCCAATTTATTCTCCTTGTAACTTACACCTTTAATTGGGAATTTAACTATTTTATTAAAATACTCCAACAATCCCCCACTTATTTTAATAAAATAAGATAATATAGTATTATATGGCAAGAAAGGACTAACATGCATAATATAGTTAGCAATGCTTTGAACCTATATTTAGTGTTATAGTAATTTCTAATGCCAGAGTCGGTAGTGAACTTCGGTCTTGAACTATGGCTGCTTTGGGGATATTGGATATCACCTTACACACACAATAGTCCAGGTGTTCTCATGAGCTAATAAAGCTGGCACTTTACGGCATTGTGCTCAATTCTAGTTTTTCTCATGAGTGTATAAGAGAACAAGTCCTAATTCTCTTTAGGGCAACCCTACCCGTAGCACTCATATAGGTGAAATCCATCAAGGGTACCCCCACAACTCATACACCCCACGCATGGAAGTTATAGATTTCATTAAGAGCAATATAGTTCAACCTTTCTTCAGTTACAAGATGTATGCACACATAGCATAGGGATGGATCATACTTATCAAAATTTGTGCATACCCATTTCAAATCACCATGTAATTCGTTTTTCCCTTTGAACCTAACTCTTGGGATCACCAATCATTAGGTTGGGTATCCTTACATGTGATTTATGATTCATGGACTTTAGTCACATCTCTTTCATGGTTTATCATATCTTTGCCTCAAACTTGAGTTATTCACTATCATCACAAAATATAAACAAAGATATGGTCTCATTGACACTCAAATCAAATTATTTTCATCAAGTATCACAATAATACTGCGATAATACCAATATTTTGTGAGAATATTTCTCACATAATTGCCATACAAGCAATTATATACACTTCAAGTGAAGGTTCAATGTTTTCATTTTTTTCCATCCTAGTAGCTAGTAATCTCACTAGAAATCATCAAAATAGATGATCAACATTAGTTTACTACTAGGAGGTACTCTATTTCTCTATAATTCTCAATTTCATCTAGTAGGCCAGTAGTCCATAAACCTACTAGGAACCTTATTTACCATTTCCATGGAATTTCCATATAATTTCTGTTTGAAAAAAATATGAAATATATGCTTCAGGTGCCTTCACATTATAGTCACACTTTTGAGTGTGTGTCCATCTGCACAAACTTAAAGAAAGAATTAAGAAATCCAAAAAATATGATACTCAATGTCATTTAATATTGCACTTAATTGTAACTTTAAAATTCACACCCACAAGTTGCAATTATAACATGGTGTCACATGAGATTTGTATATAAATTTTTTAAAATATAGATCCATGTCATTTAATTGAGCTTCCTCAAGTAATTAATCTAATTATTTGCATTAATCTTTAGCAAACAAATAACCCCCACTATTTTAATGCTTTAATGATATGCAACTAAACACATATTGCATTTAAAGATCAAGTCTTTGCACATTAGCATAGAAAATTACTTGTGATGACCCCAGATTTTCTTAGGGCGTATCTAAAATTTAGCGGATCGCCTGCCTGACTCTCGTTAGGGCTCACTCACTTACATTAATTTCAGAGATAACATTTGATAAACCAAAACCAAACGCTCAAATCTTTTACAATACCAAATTCAATACAAAAGTTTCAACCGTAATATGATACTAAAGGATTTACAATCACAAAAGTCTTCACGTTAACTTCTTAAGATCCCTAGTTCGTTCTCCAACCACCAACTCCTGTAAGGAAAACAAACTAAATGGTTGAGCTAGAGCTCAGTGAAGTTTGCCAAGTAACATTCAATAAACACTTAAACCAGTAAAATTAAGCAAGTAATGAACATTTCACTATATAGTCATTTTCAAAAGCATACAAACTCCTCCTGGGAGTCATTTCAGTATTATTGCACACTCATTTCAATGTCGTGGTACATTCATTTCAATATCATTACACACTCCGCCACAATCAGCTCCTTATGTCTTCCAAAACAATAAACAATCCCTACATTCAATAATTAGTTCAATAATCTCCCAACTTTAGGGTAGTACTTGAGTATACCGAAACATTTATTCAAAGCTTCCGTTCTATTAGACCAAGCCCTTTTGCTGACTCGAATAGTCCGTTGAACAGAGGATTTTGGGACCCAGTTCAGTCAATGTGGTAAAGTATACATACAGCTTACATTCATGCACACTTAAATTAATATTTGGTCAATTATCAACCTTCAAACTCAACTAAGTCGAGTGCGATAAAGTATATCCCCGACTTAAAAGGCGAGGGACAATTGAGATACATTTTACAATGAATCACTAGCAATATTCCATAATAAGCACATTTATCACAAAATTTTACTTAAATAAACATAAACAGTTAAACACGCAAATTCGGAAACACTCACCCAATTCCAAATAAATTACTCTAGAGCCTCAGGTTTGCTTACTAAGGTGTTATAGTTTTATTATCTTCATGCACTGCCTCAAAACTTTATTTTGTTCTAATTTGTATATTCCTACAAAATTTTCTTACATTAATCTAGGGTATTTCCATAGATTCAATTCATAATAAATCAATTAGACATATAATTTAATCAATTATATAGTATATGCAACACTTTCGATAATATATGAAGGTAAAATAAAATAAAAATATATATGCAATTTTCCGAGCTCTTACATTACTATGACTCCCACTATTTGTCACAACTTTATAACATGCAATGGATTATATATCTATTGCAATTAATGTAAATGACTCAATTAATCATACTCATTGGAAGTTCAAATTACTTTTTAAGAAGGCGCCTTTAAAATTTCTTCCAGAATGATGATAGCAACTTGTCTAGTGCAGCAACAAGTTGTAATTGTTCAGTAATTCGAACTCCTTTAGATCTACTTCTCTGGTGCCATATTTTCCTGTTAAGCCTTCCAAAATTTTTGGTTTTAGGATAAGAAATTTCATAGAAAATATAAAAGTCATTATAATACTAGTAATGGAATTCAACAACTTCCCTTTTTCCTAAATTTTTCTTTACAAGCATTCTTTTATGCTTCATATATCTCATTGGTAGAGATCTTCTCATTTTTTCCCATCCATAGGTAGACTACTCAAGTTGCTTGAATTGATCGTAAGTGACTTCTAAGTTGAGCTCCATCTTGATTTGAATCACCTTAAAATTGTTGTTCTGCTATAATAAAAATACAATTGTTAAATAACAAAATCAACAATAGTTATAATAATAATTTTAACAATTATAAAATTAACTATAATAAAATAGTTAAAATAATAATATAATAATACACAAATTGAGGCACGGGTATCTTGTTTTCTTTAAGGTGATTCAAGCCTCAGCGGAAGAATTAATTTCGGTGTCGCAAAATCTGTAGTTTGTCACCCCCAAGATACAACAGCCCAGCTACACTTGCAGTCACTCTCATTAGTGTACACAATCAAGAGAGTATAGTTCCAATAGCACCGATTTTTCTTGCCAATCTATGAGATAGAAAATAACAAAGAAGTGGATAGTTTCTCTCTTATGAATTGTAGCTCACAAAACATAAGTTCTTGTAACACCTTTTTCTATTTCAATTACATATATTTATAGGTGAAGAAAAATTAGACAAACATAACCTACACCACTAATAAGAAACCAAGTAAATGCTGAAATTATTAGCCATTCAAAACACATTGAAATTTGTATTGTAGGTTACAAAAACTTATGATAATTGAAAGGTCATTATTTCATATAATAAATCTTAGTCAAAATCATTTAAACAATAAATTTCAAAATTATTTTCCAATTTATTTTCTGTCGCGCCCCATTTTTTGCAATGAAAAAAAAGGTGTTTACAAAAGATGTGATTTTATTTAAAAATAGGTGAAAAGGACCTAGAATGGAACTTTCAAGAAGGTGACAATTTGGGTCCAAAATTTAATCTAAAAGGGTTTTTTTTTTTCAAGAAGGTGACAATTTGGGTCCAAAATTTAATCTAAAAGGGTTTTTTTTTTAAAAAAAAAGGAGTTGCCACTTGATATTGAGTTTTGGTGTTCCAAGTCACCCAAAAGTGTTTTTTGACAAAAATAAAATAAAAACCTTTTCGACAACTCCAGATCTTTAAAAAATAAGAGAAAATGGGTTCGGGAGTCACGGTTGAAGAAAGGGAAGGCAAAGGTTCGATTAACTCAAAACTAAGGCACCCTTTCAACCTAGTCTAAGCTAGTTGCGAGGTTTAGTCAAAATTTTCCTAATTTAACCCTTAATTTTATCACATTTAGATATTTTCTACATGAATGTAAAACTAAAATATCATAAGAAACAAAATATCCATTCAAGGATTTAATTGATACAAATCGCATTACTTGCGAAGGCCAAAATAATTCCTTAAAGGGGTCACGAGTATGCGAATGATGAAATTTAATGAAAAGAAAAAAAAATTAAATTATATACATAGATATAAATGATCAAAGAATAGGGATGCATCATAATGGGTACGGAAAACAAAAATTCGTAACATAATTTTCTTATACTGGGATCGATGGGATATTTAAACTAAAAAGTTATAATCACCCATTTTCCATGTTTGAAGAATAATTCTCCTAATATAGACAAGCAAATGAACTAACTTAAATGAGATGCAATTCTAAATGACATGATTAACACATATAGAGGGTAGGGGGTAGAGGATAATATATAGAAAATATCATGCAAATATGAAAAATCCTAAAAAATAAAATATACATGGAAATGTAATGGATATCACACAAAAATGAATCTAACACACGAATGATCTAAGAGTCTAGCATTGGACTAACCCATTTCTAAAATCCTTACTAGCGTTGGACTAGCAAGTAAACGGAGCGAGAAGTCACAACTAACGTTGGACTAGTGTGATGACATCATGCATCAACAATACATAGTAAAACAAAGAAGGCATAAGCTAAAACAAATAAACACATAAGAACATATAACACGTAACATGTAAACATAATATCTAGATGCAAAAATCCGAAGGAAAGCAGATAAATCATATAACACATAAGCCACATAAACATACAACCTACCTATTACTGTTGTTTATGTCATAATTGAAATCTACATCCCTAGATTCTTCCTTGAGCGAAATTTCTCCATTTGCAATTTCACAAGCCTAGAAACAATATATACTGGAAAATATTGCAATGAAATATTGAAAAATATTTTAGAAAAATTTTGACAGAATTTTTCCATATAAATGGACAGAACTCCCTGCCAACAGCCTCAAGCTCAAGAAAATTATCCTTATAACAATATTTCCAAATATGATTCCAAGACACAATCACCCCATAAGATAAATTAATCCCTCTCCCCCACTTAAACTTGACAATGTCCTCATTGTAAAGGAATGTAAAAGAAACTAGTACTCCCCTCATCGTAAAGTGATGCAATTTGAAGCTACTAATCCTCACAAACATCCAAATTCTGTCCAACAATGAAACAAAGGGTACAAAGAAACATAAGTAGCACAAGTTAATCCAATATGAAAACTACAAAGTTTAAACTGAACACAATAAAAAGAAAAATAAAGTGACAAAAGATGTAAGCAGCTAAGGATCTTCATGACTATTCGAAACAAAGGTTTACTGCCTTCTCAACTCCTTGAGGACTAGTGATGTACCAATATGCTCCTTTTCATGCTGAGGCGTCGGAGTAGGTGACCGATGGATGCTGAAATGATCCTCAATCGCCCGAAGATGGCGATCATGTCTGTCTAATCGCTCCATCATCAGCCGCTCTGTCTGATCGATTTGCTCCATTACCCTCGTCTCCATGCAACAGATGGCATTAAGACTTCTTGCCACTTGGAGCGCGGCGGATGAGGTGGTCGCAGAATGGGAGGAGGAAGAGCTTGCTGTGCCTCCGTTTGTTGAGCTTCCTGTTCTGGCTTAGTGTGAGATGGGGGCTGAGTTGAGGTCGAAGCTGCTCCCACATCGCGAACCAGAGAAGCTCCAAAATCTGTAGGGATACTCAAGGACTGTAATACTGAAACATTGACCTCATCAACTGCGTTGGTAGTAATGGCTCTCTCCTCACCCAATGGTACCTTGAACTTTTCAAACAGAAGAGTAAGGAGACGAGGAAACCCAAAACAAGTTTTACCGGCTCGCATGCGGGCTGTAGTGTGCATATAGCTAACAATGATGCTGCCGAGAGGAATTCTTGTCAACTACTGACCTATTCCATTCATCATCTTATCCAAAAAGTAAAGGTCGCTATTTCGAACTTCCCTTTTTCCACTCCTTTTAGGTACTACATTAAAAGCAAAGAGATAGAGATGATAAGGTGGTACCTAGGCTCAAATGAATCGGCATAAACGATGAGTTTCTTCGAACTTCCTCGTTCCCGGTATTGACGCTTAAGACGTGATAGAGCTTCGCCCACTTGCCATGGATCACGTGCCTTGAATTCTTTGGTCAATTCACATCTTCTCCGTCATCCTTGAGTTTGACAAATTGGCCGATTTTCTCCCAGTGGATGGCCACTCTCTTGCCTCGAACCCAAGAGACAATGAGATTTCCACTATGACTCTGCTTGTTCTCGACATTGGCATAAAACTCCCGGACCAAGTTGGGATAATAATGCCTAGGCAACTTCAAAATATTGGCCCATCCGAGTCGACCAAAGACAGTGGATACCTTATAGTGATCATCCACCTCTGGTGCCAAGTACTTCTCAATAATAATCTCCTTGGCCAAGCCTGCCTCATACCACTGTTGATTTTCTAGTGAGGTGAATCGCGTGGTATCATAGTCTGGAGGCGGCTCCTCGCAGCTAGTAGATGCTGTCTTTCGCCTGGAGCGAGGTGGCGGCTCAGGAGAAGGAGATTCCTCCTCTAGTGACTCCTCATGCAAAGAAGGTGTGTGTTCCTCACTTGACGATGGTGTAGAAGTACGAATACGAGCTCTCATTGTGCGAACCATAGTACCTATACACAAACAAGATGAATATTCATTAGAAACAATATAAACTTGCTCACACATGTTAAATAGGAATTTAAGAAAATTTTGACAGAGTTTCCCCTTATAAAAGGAAGAAACTCCCTGTCAACAATCAACAATTTTAAGTAAATAATCTTCCTAAAATCCAATTCCCACGTTTAGAATGAATATTACCAATAAGGATATCATGACATGCATAATAAGTCCAAACACTTGAGAATTATATCCATTTGCAAGAATGAACATATCAAAGAAATTTAAAGTATTAACGATAATGTGCTATAATTCTTGCAAACACTTGAGAACATCTCAAATTTTTTTTTTTCCAAAAGATACTTTTATTGCAAGAAAGAGATTCTTGCCCCCACAGGAGCAATTACATCAACCAAAGAAACAAACTTCAAGCTACCTAATCCTTCTCCGAAAGCTAGGAAAGCCTGACCTATCCATCCGTATGTCACCACGCGCCATAGGAGGTAGCTCTGCAAAGGACTCAAACAAAACATCCCTGCCCCGATCAGCACCCATCTTAGCCAGCCTGTCGGATGGTTTATTCGCTTCCCTAAAGCAATGTGTTATTGATCGAAACAAACTCTGATGCCGCAACATATCGTCCAATTCCACCTGCAAACGCCAGGGGCATGCATGCTCCCCTGATATGATCTGAACGAGGACTAAGGAGTCCACCTCCAGGTGGAGCTCCCTGTAGCCCCGATCTACACAAAGTTTAACCCCATACAGTAAGGCCTGTAACTCGGCGTGTAGGCTGGTGGTGACACCAAGGAAACAGGAGAAACGAGTAGAAAGCCCCCCTGAGAATCCCGTAGAAGCCCTCCCCCTCCACTGAGCCCTGGATTGCCCAAAGAGCAACCATCCGTATTCAACTTGCATCCTGCTCTCGGGGCCACCCACTTCACAGGCCAAATGTGCACCCGTTTAGGCCGACCTGCCAAATCCGCATACAACTCCCCTCAAGAGCCATGGGGCCATGAAAGCGATGGGAATTGTAAGTGCAATAGATCCCTCACCCTCGACAAGGTCCGGTCAACCACTACACCCCCCTCTGACCTCCCTCATTGCATTAAAGCACTAGTCCTTGCTCTCCACAGTTCCCAACAAATCAAAGAAGGCAAGAGGCGATAGACAAACGCCAAGTACCTGTTCGGCGCTGGGCGTATCCACCACGCAATTGCCATATGGCGGGCTGAACAAATACGAGAATTCCTCCCATCTGGGACTTCGAATGCCTTCCACACTTGCCGGGCAGCCTCCCCTGTGCAAAACACATGGTTCAACCGTTCCTCCTGGGGGTTGGCGCAGCAGGCGCATCGGGATGGACCTTGGACACCAAAACGTCGTAACTGTTCAAGTAGGGGTAACCTATCTGAAAGGAGGCGGAGCATGAAAAAAGAGACCGTGATTGGTAAGAACCTGTGCCAAATGCAGGTGGTTCCGAGAGACCTATTAGCTTGAGAGCGTATCAGTGGTAGAGCCGAAGTAATTGAGAACTCCCCAGTAGGGGTTAACATCCACACCATCCTATCCTCCCCCTGAAGCGTCGGCGGGGCAATCGTCATCACTAGCTGAACCAGCTCCGGCTGAAGAACTTATGAGAGTAACTGGGCATTCCATTCGCCACCAGTAACAAAATCCGCTACCTGCTGGTTGTGGAATACCTCTACTCGATGACACAATGGACCAGACCCTACCCAGTTGTCATGCCAAAAACTCATCGTTCCTGCTCGAACAATCCATCCGATGTTGTCCTCCACTACCCCCTGAACCTCACACATACGTCTCCAAGTGTACGAACTCCCTATCCGCTCCTCTGCTAGACAGGGGTGCCGATTTCTACAGTATTTGGCAGCAAGGAAGGATGCCCAAAGGGATCGCCCCTGTCTGAAATGCCACCATAGCTTCATGGAGAATGCTTGAAACACCTCCGTTGGCCTCCGAAGGCCCAACCCCCCTTTGCTATATGGACGACACAAATCTGCCCACCTCATCCAGTGAAACCGAGGTCCAAACTCTGACACGCCCCAGAGAAACGCCGCCATGACTCTCTCCATTTCGTGCATGACTCCCTTAGGAGGGGACGCTGCCGCCAACAAGTGGATCGGCATGGAGGATAGAACGTGCTTAAGCAAAACTACTCTTCCCCCCGGCGAGAGGATTCGCTGCTTCCACGACAAGATTCTGCTGGCAATGCCCTTGCAAATCTCCCCAAAATACGCATTCTTTCGTCGCCCAGCGAATAACGGGCAACCCAAGTACTTGACCGGAAATTTCCTCTTCTGAAAGCCTGTTGAATGCCTGATAGTTCTGCAACGAAGCGGGGATAACCGGGGATGCACCAGAAAACAGCTCTTTTGCTTATTGATCATCTGGCCCGAGACAGCACAATAATCTTCCAAGACCCGCAGTAAGAGACGCAAAGATGACTTCAACCCACTGGTGAAAATGACCACATCATCGGCAAAAGCCAAATGTGTAACAATCGGACAGCCAATCGGAACCTTATACTGATGAAATTGACGGTGCTCAACCAAAGCGTTCAAAGCCCTAGAGAGGGCTTCCGCCCCAATGACAAACAAAGCTGGAGATAATGGGTCGCCCTGCCGCAAACCCCGCGAGGACCGGAAGAATCCCTGCGGTATCCCATTGATCAGAACTGAAAACCACACATTGCTCACCAACCTCCAAATAGCATCGATCCATGACTCTGAAAATCCGAACCGCCGCAGCACCTGCAAAAGAAAGCTCCAGGACACCCTATCATAGGCCTTCATCATATCCAACTTAAGCACAACATTGCCTCCGCGTGCAGACTTCCCAATATCCGACACCAACTCCTGTGCCAGCAAAAAGTTGTCCGCGAGCTGCCGCCCTTTGATAAAACCACTCTGTTGGGCAGAAATGAGACTGGGTAACATCGGGGCAAGACGATCCGAAAGAATACGAGAGATCACTTTGTTGATAAAGTTACATAGGCTTATCGGACGGTATTGTGTGAAATCCTGGGGGCACTGAACCTTGGGGATCAAGACAACGGTAGTGACGGTGATGCTTCGTGGCAACTCCGCCCCACAGAAGAAGCTTAAGATAGTCTTATACACATCCTCCGCTACCACTTCCCAAGCAAACGTGAAGAACTGCCCTGTAAATCCATCTGGACCAACGGCACTTTCCCCATCCATCGAGAAGACCACCTGCTTGACTTCGGCCATGGTGGGGGGCTCCATGAGTCGAGTGTTATCCCGATCCGTCACCAACTTCGGAATATTTTCTAAGAACTCATACGAGGCATAACCCGCCTCCGCTGTGAAAAGCCCCTGGAAGAAGGAAATTGCCTCTCTACTAATGAGTTCCTCCGATTCCACCCATTCGCCATTAGCACCACGGATCCGATGAATGATCGCCCTGCTCCTCCTCTCCGCTACCACAGCATGAAAGTACTGAGTATTCCTATCCCCATCCTTCAACCACCTCACCCTGGCCTTCTGTTTCCAAAAGCCTTCCTCCGTGGCCAAAGCAGCCCTTAACCGCTCACGGGCAACATTCAAATCACGTAGCACATGGTCTGACGAGTCATGCTATTGTGCTATTTCCGCCTCCCGTGCTGCCCGCTCTGCATCTCTGACTGCCTTAAAGATGTCGCCAAAAGACTCCTTAGACCACCGCTTCAGAGCCTGCTTGACTGTCCTTAACTTTACTGCCAAAACCCCTAATGGTTGCCCGCTCAACTCACATGTCCACGCATCCCGGATGACCTCCAACACCCCTCCCTTGGTGGTCCAGACATTTAAGAACCGGAAAGG